GGTCCGGTGCTCCTGCTATATTTTAGAGATTCTTGATAAAATCCAAAGAGGAATCTGCAATGTTTCTCTCCAGAATCTATCTTACATATTTATAAGTCTACCATTCATCCATGCTTTGAATATTGCTGCCACATATGGTCCGGTGTTCCTGCTATATATTTAGAGATTCTTCCAAAGAGGAATCTGCAATGTTTTCTCCAGAAAAATACATAAAGTCTACCATTCATCCATGGAATCTATATATTTGAGATTCTTGATAAAATCCAAAGAGGAATCTGCAATGTTTCTCTCCAGAATCTATCTTACATATTTATAAGTCTACCATTCATCCATGTTTTGAATATTGCTGCCACATATGGTCCGGTGCTCCTGCTAAATATTTAGAGATTCTTGATAAAATCCAAAGAGGAATCTGCAATGTTTCTCTCCAGAATCTATCTTACATATTTATAAGTCTACCATTCATCCATGCTTTGAATATTGCTGCCACATATGGTCCGGTGCTCCTGCTATATATTTAGAGATTCTTGATAAAATCCAAAGAGGAATCTGCAATGTTTCTCTCCAGAATCTATCTTACATATTTATAAGTCTACCATTCATGCATGTTTTGAATATTGCTACCACATATGGTCCGGTGCTCCTGCTATATATTTAGAGATTCTTGATAAAATCCAAAGAGGAATCTGCAATGTTTCTCTCCAGAATCTATCTTACATATTTATAAGTCTACCATTCATCCATGCTTTGAATATTGCTACCACATATGGTCCAGTGTCCCTGCTATTTACCTGGAGCTCTTTGATAAGATCCAAAGAAGAATCTGCAATATTATTGGTCCTTGTCTGGCGGTTCGGCTTCAGTCACTTGCCTACCGCCATAAGGTTCACCTCTTTGTGCCTTTTTCACAAATAATTTCATGGTAATTGTTCGGATGACCTCTGCCCTATGGTACCATGACTTTATGAATTTATTTAATACTAGACTGTCGGAGAGATCTTATCAATTTACAATTAAGCTAGCTAGATGTATCCGTAACTTCTATGCTAACGATTTCTTATCACTTCCATGCTTTCCAGCCAACTTTAATCTTCAAAAATTTAAATGCAATGTCAATCGCTATCTACTGTCCTCCTGATTACTCTTTTCTCTTCCCGCTCATTATTAATGTTTCTGTTCCTAATTCTTCCACACCCTGTAAACCCTTGTGCCTTAGTGGCTTTATTCTCTTACTTGTGGAACTCCCTTCCGGTTCCATGCTTTTCAGCCAACTATAATCTGCAAACATTTAAATGCAATATCAATCGCTATCTACTGTCCCCCTGATTACTCTTTCCTCTTCCCGCCCATTATTATTGTTTCTGTTCCTAATTCATCCAGACTAGGCACCCTGTGCGTGCCGATGGCTGTACTGGTGACTGTGCTGCTTTGCTTAGGGTGATACCAATTTAAAAATAATCAACAAGAAGGTTGTTCATCACCTGAATAAGAACAACCTCTTGAGAAACAAGCAGTACGGATTTCAGTCAACCTGATCCACTGCTGATGTCCTACCTACAATTATATATAGAAAAAAAGTGTTACAGACAGAATATGATTATTAGATATGATGTAAATGAATCGCAAATAATTATGTTATAGAAATTGCAATTCTGATGATTTTACTATAAAATGCATTGTAAATCAGAAAGAAAGGGATTGTCAGTGGTCAGGAATGAATGCAAGCATTACTGATAGAATAGAGCTATTATATGTATAATGGAAATGCATTGCTAATGATTTTTACTATAAAAATGCATTGAAAATGAGGAAGAAAGGGATTGTCAGTGGTCAGGAATTAATGCAAGCATTACTGATAGAATAGGGCTATATATATATATATATATATATATATATATATATATATATATATATATGGGGAGTTAGTAATCTAATACATTAGTCCAGTCTGTCAACTTTTGATTTTCATCTCTGAAAAAAGTTCCCATAGTTTACAGTATCCGACTTGTAAAATCTCGACATATTGTGACCAGAGTACAAACTGAGAACCTGTTTCAACACACCGCCCCACGCACCCATTTTGGTAATTTTTAACCAATCGTTTTTAAGATCCATTACGACAATAATGATAGTCTTGGTTTTCTTCCAACCGGTGATAGATATTCTCACCACCACCCTTAATTTTCTTCCGATGTAATCTCAAAATGGTCCTCACAGGATTTCACTCTGTGTATTTTTCCGTCTAGAAAGGACGGCAAAGGTTTTGTGTTGGCACTCCTCATCTAATTGACCTGTTTCCTTAAAGCACTAGTTTTCCATACGAACTGGTAGATTGCGAAGGGGGTTGGGGTCTGGCAACAATTACAAAGAACTTTTAACTTGCACTCGCTAGTTTAGTTCGATTAGCATAGGAGAGGCTCCAAAACTGTGAGGCCCAAACATTTTGAAGCTCAAATTAAACAGGCGAATCCAACCGCAAAATTCTGAAAATTTTTGTAGATTAATTTTCTTTAGATTTTCCTCCGGGCATGACATTTGTTAGAATCGAAAAATGCTTATTTTTATCATTTTTGTAGTGGCGGTCTTTTTCATCAGGGCCGTTGCGTACTACCCTCGTACCTCCCGATCAGGTGTAAGGGGAAAAGTGCTTTGTCACCCTTGTTATCTTATTAACATTTTTTCTACCTACAGTCGTGCAGGTTACAAATTAACCTGGGTAAGACAATAAACTACATCCGCGTCCTGGGTACGTCCGCGTCCTGGGTACGTCCGCGTCCTGGGTACGTCCGTGTCCTGGTTAAGACGATAAACTACATCCGCGTCCTGGGTGAGACGATAAACTACATCCGCATCCTGTGTAAGACGATAAACTACATCCACGTCCTGGGTATAACGATAAATTACATCCGTGTCCTGGTTAAGACGATAAACTACATCCACGTCCTTGGTAAAACGATAAACTACATACACGTCCTGGGTATGACGATAAACTACATCTGCGTCCTGGGTAAAACGATAAACTACGTCCATGTCCTGAGTAAGACGATAAACTACATCCGCGTCCTGGGTAAGACGATAAACTGCATCCGTGTCCTGGGTAAGACGATAAACTACATCCACGTCCTGGGTAAGACGATAAACTACGTCCAACAGAAAGGCCTCTGATCAGGAGGTTTTGAGGAGCTTGGAACCACATTAAAATTGGTTATGTTCCCAGGTCTACCGAGACCTGGGGTGGTAGCACCTGTCAGGGTCCCAGCTGTGGACAAATAGTCAACCCTACAAAAGGGGTCTAAACACCATGAAAGTATAAAATAGGTTTTAATACCAGAAATGCATTTTCGTAAAAATTATTACCAACAATACATTATTACCAGCAATACATTTTTGAAAAAAAATATTACCAGCTATATATTTTTTGAAAAGAATATTGCCAGCAATACATTTTTGAATATATATATATTTAAGACATTTTTATGTTATACATTCTTTTTATAGATACAAATATTTAAGTAAATGCTCTGTTTATAATAAACAGTATTAAACAACATTTACCGGCCTGAATGTCCGAGAAATTTTCGCAGAAAATGTTTATCCTTCGACAGGATTCGAACCTGTATCCTATACGGAACCGTCACTTGGCTTGACGTGCCTTTAACCGATTTGGCCACAGAGGAGCGTTCGGTTAGCAAGGTCGAATTGACTGTATTTGAACTTCAATCTTCTATGAATCTCTCACGTACATTCATATCTGTTCATAGCGTAAATGTAAAGAAATGACGTCACACATTATGAAATGGACAAAGTCCGACAATTATTTTAAGACATATTTATGTTTATACATTCTTTTATAGATACAAATATTTAAGTAAATGCTTTGTTTATAATAAACAGTATTAAACAACATTTACCGGCCTGAATGTCAGGCTATATGACGGTTCCGTTATAGGATACAGTTTCGATTCCTGTCGGAGGCTGAATATTTTCTATGAAAATTTCTTGGACATTCAGGCCGGTAAATGTTGTTAATACTGTTTATTATGTGGCCCGTTGGCCGGATGTGGGCTGGTGGCCGGATGACCCTGTGGCCGGGTGTGGCCTGGTGGCTGGATGTGGCATGGTGGCCGGATGTGGCCGGATGTGGCCGGGGTTTGCCGATCCCTGATTTAGAACATAGGGAAAACCACTTTTCCGTTTCTCACTTCTAATAAACACTTAACCTTAAAATAAATATAGTTTTCTGAAACTTTATTTGAGTACGATTAACCAATTTAAAGTTAAATTAATCTGAATTAAAACAAATTTTACTTACTTTTAGTTTAACATGTCGGAGAAAATCATTTTTTGACATGAAGGTATGTTTATGAGGTGCTGACAGATTTATCAATGGCTTAATATTTGATTAAGTAAACTCTAAAAATTACTTAATACAACGTGAACGCCTTATCATACAATTTTATAATTAGCCAGAAATCTAAAATTTCTAAGTAATCTAATATTTTATTGAATTTTATGTATTTTATAGTTTTGCGAAGACATTTGTTGAGAAAATGTTAAAAAATCGCCAATAAATTTAAAATGTACTATAGTTACTTCTTTTATTTTCTGATAATGTCGTGTATGGACGTCCGTATTTACAAAAATCGGAACGTTTATACCCACTAAAAATAATTCTAAATTAGTTTAAAAATATGATTAGTAAAGGTGATATAGCAGTTTAAATTTCTTTTATTTAAAGTACTTGAGAAATGAAAATAACGGTAATTCAAACAGCTATAGAACATTTCTCTCATCCATTAACATCAATACACAGAAGGTTATTCGTGAGAATGAACGGATTTTGTTAAAAATTAGCAGACATAATGTCTGTAATTTATTCATAGAGACATTCCTAACAGGGAATTTGCTGCCTAAATACACACACACAGACACAGACACACACACAGACACACACAGACACACACACACACACACACATATATATATATATATATATAGACAGAGAGAGAGAGAGAGAAGAGAGAGAGAGAGAGTTAGGGAAATAGATAGATAGATAGATAGATAGATAGTAATCAATTGGAATAATCCAGGCAAGTCCTATTAACACAACATAGAATTTGAAATATGTTAAAACTGACTCACAAAAGAGAGCTCAATGTTTATTTTCATTAAACAGAGCAAATTTTCTTTATAATTGGAATTAAGATACCTTTAGTAAATGACCATTTCCACCTAGAACGTCTTCTTTCATATTTATGTCCTCTTTGTTTCTGATATTGAGCACTTTAACACATTAATATAGCATAAGTTAAGTATATATATATATATATATATATATATATATATATATATATATATTATAATGATAAACAAGATATTCTTTGAATTAACAAAAGATACTTATCATTTTATTGTTAACTGGGATATATATATATATATATATATATATATATATATATATGTGTGTGTGTGTGTGTGTGTGTGTGTGTGTGTGTGTGTAGTAATCCGTTGGTATAATAAATTAACACAACACAGAATTTGAAATATGTTAAAATGACTCACAAAAGAGAGTTCAACGTTAATTTTCATTAAACAGAGCAAATTTTCTTTATAATTGGAATTAAGATACCTTTAGTCTCTTAATCCTAGTATTTTAATTTTAGTATCTTAATTCAATTGTAATATATATATATATATATATATATATATATATATTATATATATATATATATATATATATATATTTCATTATTATTAAAATTTAAAAATACTATTTCATCGCGACGCACAAATTTCAAAGTTTGGGAACTAAAATTACTCTTCCATTTTCAAGCGACATTCAATAACTTCAAAAAAAAAAAAAGATTTACTTTTGAACGCTTTCTCACGTTGAATATCGTTTGAAAATGGAAGAGTAATTTTAGTTCCCAAACTTTGTGTGTCGCGATGAAAAAATATTTTTGAATAACAATGTTATATTATGCTTTACTCTTCATATCGAGCGCTTTTTAAAAATTAAATGCTAAAAAACTCTGGATTAATAATTTAATAATCTGACTGTTCTTTCTATATATATATATATATATATATGTGTGTGTGTGTGTGTGTGTGTGTATATGTAATTATATTTGAGAAAATGATGAGAAAATGACTGCAAGAAAGTGGCGAACAAAGGAAAGATTTGAAGAGATGATGGGGACAGGCAAATATGGCAAACAAAAGATATATATGTATGTAGGGTGCTGATGAGAGGCTTATCATCTTCAGGGAGAGTCGGGTGGGGCCATTTGACAAGTTGTCTAATGTGAACGCATTCTAGCTGCTTCGTAAGTGACCTTGAGAACCAACGCTGGAGTACGAAGCGGCCCCTACGCATTCTCGGCAAAGCAAGAGAGAGACAGAGACAGAGACAGAGACAGAGAGAGAGAGAGAGAGATCCCGTTTGGATTAGGCTACATCACCCCAGCCCAGCATCCCTTAAATAATCTTATCTACTTATTGTATACTTATTGTTTATCATATCAGGGCATCTTTTTCTCACCCTTCCGTCCCCGCCACACCCTGGGCTCTCTACCCGATCGCAAAAGTGCCCTCTACTAACCTAATTACTCTGGCTTTAATAAGCGTAACGATTTACGTTATCTTGTCCTCCACTTTGCTTAGGACAATAAAAATAGAATGGATTATACCGAATCAACCATTTTCCCCCCTCTAATTACAGGAAGAAAAATAAAAATATAAATAGGAGGTTAAGTCAAAAATTATCCTCTCTTTCACCATAACATATCTACAGGTTTGTCCCACTGCCTTCTGCTTACGTGTCCTTATAGTTGGTACAATTGTGATCACTGCTGTTACAGTGCAAACATGTCCGCTCCGCTAGCAGTGTGCACCAAAAAGAGCAGTGGTCCAATTTATCTGGTCGAAAAGTGTGCCAGGGGCTGAAATTCTTCGGAGTCATTTAAAACTACGGCGATAGTCCATTACCACTAGCGGAACAGCTATGTTTACCTTGTAACAGCAGTAAGTAAACTTGCGGGATCAAGCTCAAACTTCTGTCACATGACCACAACAGTACCAACTCTAAACAGAAGAGACGGATTTATACCTTTCCCTAACGTGCGAGGTTAAGTCAAAAATTATTCGCATTTTCGCTATAACATATCTTTAGGCTTATCACGTGTGCTTAAAGTTGGTATTATCGTGGGCTGTGATCGAAATTTGGTCGCCCCAGATTTGTTGCTGCTGTCACTGGGTAAACATGACCGCTTCGCTAGCAGTGTGCACCAAGGAGGAACAACGAGCAGTATTCCGATTTTTTCTGGTCGGAAGGTGTTGTCAGGGGCTGAAATTCATTGGAGGTTTTTTAACACAATACGGCGATAATGCACTACCGCCTGGATGAGTGTGTGAGTGGATCGAGAAGTTTAAAAGTGGCCGGACAAGCGTGACGAACGAAGAAGGTGCAGGGCGCTCGTTAACCTCCATCATTGACGAGGAGATTCAGCAATCTCGAGAGATGGTAACGGCCAACCGATGAGTTATCATCGATGTGATAGCATGTCCTCTGCAGCCTTGTATCACTGCTCTTCGTTCCTCCTTAGTGCACACTGCTAGGGAAGCGATCATGTCTGCACTGTAACAGCAGCAAGCAAACTAGCGCGATCAAAACTCAAACTTCGATCACGTGACCACGATAGTACAAACTATAAGCACGCATGAACAGATGGCAGTGTGACAAAGATATGTTATAGCGAAAGGACAGATAATTTTTAACTTACCCTTTATTTATATTTTTCATTTTCTTCCTGTAATTAGAGGGGGAAAATGTTTGACTCGGGAAAATCCATTCCATTTTTATTGTCCTAAGCAAACTAGAGGGCAAGATAAAGGAAACCATTACGCTTCTTAAAGCCAGAGTAACTGGATTAGTAAAGGTCATTTTTGCGATAAGGCAGAGAGCCCTGGGTGTGGCGGGAACGGAAGGGTGAGGAAGAGATGCTTTGATATGATAAACAATAAGTATACAATTAGATAAGATAGGATCTAACCAACGTCTTTATCCACTGGGCCATGTGTCCTTGTGAATATGGCAATGAAGATGAGGATAACAGTCCGAATAATGTAAATAATGGAAATAATCATAATACCTCATCTCAGAGATATAGACGGCAATTATATCACTAGAAGCTAGTCACTGGATCTAAGCAACGTCTTTATTCACTGGGCCATGTGTCCTTGTGAATATGGCAGTGAAGATGAGGATAACAGTCCAAATAATGTAAATAATGTAAGTAATCATAATACCTCATCTCAGAGATATAGACAGCCATTATATCACTAGAAGCTAGTCAATGGATCTAAGCAACGTCTTTATTCACTGGGCCATGTGTCCTTGTGAATATGGCAGTGAAGATGAGGATAACAGTCCGAATAATGTAAATAATGTAAGTAATCATAATACCTCATCTCAGAGATATAGACAGCCATTATATCACTAGAAGCTAGTCAATGGATCTAAGCAACGTCTTTATTCACTGGGCCATGTGTCCTTGTGAATATGGCAGTGAAGATGAGGATAACAGTCCGAATAATGTAAATAATGTAAGTAATCATAATACCTCATCTCAGAGATATAGACAGCCATTATATCACTAGAAGCTAGTCAATGGATCTAAGCAACGTCTTTATTCACTGGGCCATGTGTCCTTGTGAATATGGCAGTGAAGATGAGGATAACAGTCCAAATAATGTAAATAATGTAAGTAATCATAATACCTCATCTCAGAGATATAGACAGCCATTATATCACTAGAAGCTAGTCAATGGATCTAAGCAACGTCTTTATTCACTGGGTCATGTGTCCTTGTGAATATGGCAGTGAAGATGAGGATAACAGTCCAAATAATGTAAATAATGTAAGTAATCATAAAAACCTCATCTCAGAGATATAGACAGCCATTATATCACTAGAAGCTAGTCAATGGATCTAAGCAACGTCTTTATTCGCTGGGTCATGTGTCCTTGTGAATATGGCAGTGAAGATGAGGATAACAGTCCAAATAATGTAAATAATGTAAGTAATCATAATACCTCATCTCAGAGATATAGACAGCCATTATATCACTAGAAGCTAGTCAATGGATCTAAGCAACGTCTTTATCCACTGGGCCATGTGTCCTTGTTAATATGGCATTGAAGATGAGGATAACAGTCCAAATAATGTAAATAATGTAAGTAATCATAATACCTCATCTCAGAGATATAGACAGCCATTATATCACTAGAAGCTAGTCAATGGATCTAACCAACGTCTTTTATTCACTGGGTCATGTGTCCTTGTGAATATGGCAGTGAAGATGAGGATAACAGTCCAAATAATGTAAATAATGTAAGTAATCATAATACCTCATCTCAGAGATATAGACAGCCATTATATCACTAGAAGCTAGTCAATGGATCTAACAACGTCTTTATCCACTGGGCCATGTGTCCTTGTTAATATGGCATTGAAGATGAGGATAACAGTCCAAATAATGTAAATAATGTAAGTAATCATAATACCTCATCTCAGAGATATAGACAGCCATTATATCACTAGAAGCTAGTCAATGGATCTAACCAACGTCTTTATTCACTGGGCCATGTGTCCTTGTGAATATGGCAGTGAAGATGAGGATAACAGTCCAAATAATGTAAATAATGTAAGTAATCATAATTCCTCATCTCAGAGATATAGACAGCCATTATATCACTAGAAGCTAGTCAATGGATCTAAGCAACGTCTTTATTCACTGGGCCATGTGTCCTTGTGAATATGGCAGTGAAGATGAGGATAACAGTCCAAATAATGTAAATAATGTAAGTAATCATAATTCCTCATCTCAGAGATATAGACAGCCATTATATCACTAGAAGCTAGTCAATGGATCTAAGCAACGTCTTTATTCACTGGGCCATGTGTCCTTGTGAATATGGCAGTGAAGATGAGGATAACAGTCCAAATAATGTAAATAATGTAAGTAATCATAATTCCTCATCTCAGAGATATAGACAGCCATTATATCACTAGAAGCTAGTCAATGGATCTAAGCAACGTCTTTATTCACTGGGCCATGTGTCCTTGTGAATATGGCAGTGAAGATGAGGATAACAGTCCAAATAATGTAAATAATGTAAGTAATCATAATACCTCATCTCAGAGATATAGACAGCCATTATATCACTAGAAGCTAGTCAATGGATCTAAGCAACGTCTTTATTCACTGGGCCATGTGTCCTTGTGAATATGGCAGTGAAGATGAGGATAACAGTCCAAATAATGTAAATAATGTAAGTAATCATAATACCTCATCTCAGAGATATAGACAGCCATTATATCACTAGAAGCTAGTCAATGGATCTAAGCAACGTCTTTATTCACTCAGGGCCATGTGTCCTTGTGAATATGGCAGTGAAGATGAGGATAACAGTCCAAATAATGTAAATAATGTAAGTAATCTTAATACCTCATCTCAGAGATATAGACAGCCATTATATCACTAGAAGCTAGTCACTGGATCTAACCAACGTCTTTATCCACTGGGCCATGTGTCCTTGTGAATATGGCAATGAAGATGAGGATAACAGTCCAAATAATGTAAATAATGTAAATAATCATAATACATCATCTCAGAGATATAGACAGCCATTATATCACTAGAAGCTAGTCAATGGATCTAAGCAACGTCTTTATTCACTGGGCCATGTGTCCTTGTGAATATGGCAGTGAAGATGAGGATAACAGTCCAAATAATGTAAATAATGTAAGTAATCATAATTCCTCATCTCAGAGATATAGACAGCCATTATATCACTAGAAGCTAGTCAATGGATCTAACCAACGTCTTTATCCACTGGGCCATGTGTCCTTGTGAATATGGCAGTGAAGATGAGGATAACAGTCCAAATAATGTAAATAATGTAAGTAATCATAATTCCTCATCTCAGAGATATAGACAGCCATTATATCACTAGAAGCTAGTCAATGGATCTAAGCAACGTCTTTATTCACTGGGCCATGTGTCCTTATGAATATGGCAATGAAGATGAGGATAACAGTCCAAATAATGTAAATAATGTAAATAATCATAATACATCATCTCAGAGATATAGACAGCCATTATATCACTAGAAGCTAGTCAATGGATCTAACCAACGTCTTTATTCACTGGGCCATGTGACCTTGTGAATATGGCAGTGAAGATGAGGATAACAGTCCAAATAATGTAAATAATGTAAGTAATCATAATACCTCATCTCAGAGATATAGACAGCCATTATATCACTAGAAGCTAGTCAATGGATCTAAGCAACGTCTTTATTCACTGGGCCATG